ACTGGATAAGCCCAACTGGGAGGAGATGTCGTCAGTGAGCACTGTTGCCAAGCGGCTCTGGGCTCAATGGGAAATGTTGCGTGTTCAGGATGGAGTTTTTCAGAGATACTGGGAATCAACAGAGGGAAACACAGGAAGTGGCTGGTAGTGGTACCCGCCAGCATGAGGGAAGGCGTGATGCAGGAGGCGCATGGATCTGTCACGGGTGGGCATTTCGGGAGCAAGAAAACACTGCAACGCCTGAGAACCAGGTTCTACTGGATTGGAATGAGGCGGGATGTTCAGGAGTGGTGCAGGGTCTGTGAAACGTGCACAGCAAAGAAGGGACCACAAAACGCACCACAGGCCCCGCTGCAAGTTCGAAATACAGGGGCCCCCATGGAAAGGATCGCTATCGACGTTGCCGGGCCACTGCCGACGTCGGCGTCTGGAAACCGCTACATTGTAGTAGTCATGGATTATTTCACCAAATGGCCAGAAGCATTTGCAGTACCAAATCAGGAGGCAACAACTGTGGCTCAGGTGCTCGTAGATGAGTTCTTTTGTCGATTCGGTATTCCATATGAACTTCATTCCGATCAGGGAAGAAATTTTGAAAGCAGAGTCTTCCAAGAATGCTGCAACCTGCTCGGCATACGAAAAACGAGAACAACGCCGCTGCATCCGGAGTCGGATGGAATGGTTGAAAGGTTCAACCGCACCATGGGCCAAGAGCTCGCCAAAAGGTGCAGAAATGGTCAGGAAGACTGGGACAAGCATCTGCCGACCATTTTGATGTCGTATCGCTCAGCGGAACATGAGAGTACCGGCTATACACCTGCGCAGCTGATGCTGGGAAGGGACCTGCGTCTCCCAATGGATCTAATTCTTCCAAATCCACCGGACGTGGATGAACAGGAAACGACAACACACTATGCGATGGCCCTCAGGGATCGACTCAGGGAGGCTCATGCCCGTGCACGATGTCAGCTAAGAATGACCTCTGAATCGATGAAGCTCCGAAAAGATATCAGAGCGACGACAGAGGCACTGGCTCCAGGTGACAAGGTGTGGCTGTTCAACCCGAAGCGCAAGAAAGGCCAAAGTCCTAAACTGATGTCTCCATGGGACGGTCCCTACGAGGTCGTTCAGAAGTTGTCTGCAGTGACATATCGGATCCAAAGGAAGAAGGGATCGGCCCTGAAGGTAGTACACCACAATCGGTTGTGGAAGGTACGAGGACCACCACATTTCAGCTGGCAGAACAGTGAGAAGACCAAGAGAACAGCGAGTGCTCCCCAGATGCCAAAGGAGCAGGAAGACCAGAGGCCTAAGACTGAAACCACGCAAAGCCCGCTGACGGCTTCAACGGCCCCAAGCAGCGTTTCTTCTGATAGACAGCAGGAGCACCAGGCCAGGGATGTGTCGAGAAGTGTGACTTCAGAGGATGTGGTTGAGCGGCCCGTTCATCGTCGAGAGCTTCGACGAGACCGTCGCCCTCCCGAACGGTTTGGGGATTACGTATGCCACATGGGTTTGGTGTAGATCTGGAGTTCAGTGGGAAAGTGGGAATGCCATTTAAAGTGATAGAGTTTCGGCAAAGCATAGCCCATGGGAATCCCCTGTTCGCGTAGGGGCTGGTGGTGCTGCACTGGGTGATATCTAGTCAGCCTAACTTTGGGGGCAGTTTTTTATCTTCGGTCGGTTTTCTCTATTGATGTTTTGCATAGTGAGTGCTGCGTCGGGTATGTTCTGACCAGCAGGTCACACCTCAGTGTGGTTCTGTCTCAGTTCAGCTATTACTAGGCATGTCTGTCTCACCTGTTAAGAAGTGCTAGCCACGACGGGTAGTGCCTAGACACTACCGACGGACGCTGGTGCCTAGACACACACACACAGTGATACTGATGTGAACGGACGCGATAGTGTGCTGGTTGTGAGGTTGTGTTTCGCATATGTTGCCGTCTGTTCCGAGGGCGGAACTTTTTGGGGGGAAGGGGGGTAGTGTAATGGACACTGAATGGGTGTCATACTGAAGTTTGGTGATTGGAGTGCGGCGACGTCCCATATATCCCCGATAGCCGAGTGGGTAGGGTGTCTGAACGTTTGGCCGGCGTGATCAGTCGGTGGTTGCCGGTTCGAATCCGGCCCGGTCCTTTGCTTTTGTACCGTGCGCCGAGTTTCTGTCCGTGCCGCGCTGTGATTGGTGGTGGCATCTGACCCGAGGTCACGACCGGTGCGTGCCGGCGGTGGCGGTCAGTTTTTTGCGTGGCGGTGGCCGGGTAAGTGCGGGGACTCCTGTGCGGGGGACTGTTTGGGGAGGGCTCCTGTCCCGTCCGCTGACCGGTGCTGCTGCCTGGGTTGATCCAGAGGTGCTGCCGGGCCCAGCCATCTTGCCGCTCTGCTGCCCGTGTGCTGTGCGACCTGAGGTAGCGGCTCAGACGTACATCGCCCGGGCTGTGGGGAGCGAGATTTGTGCCGCGGGTTGGGTTGTCGGAGGTGCCTCGGGTGTGGTCCGAGAGCCACCGGCGACTGATTCCGCCGTTCACCATTCTTGCGTCGGCCGGCCTCGGGTAATTCCGGGACGTCCGACGTGGGAAATCCACGGCGGCTCTGTTTGGTGGGAACCAGTGGGTTTGGGGGGGACTCGGGTTTATTCCGGGCCCCGGGTTAAGCGGAGGGACTGTCGGCCTGACTGGCATTGACGGGGCACAAATACAGGCACAAAGAGCGACACACTTTTTACTGCTGAGGCTGGACGGCGGGGTCGTCGGATTCTCCGACAAAGCGGAACGACCGAGCACAACAATATTATATCATGCGTCGGTCACGTGACACATGTTTTATGGTCCATTCAGGCCATAGGTTTCGAATTTGATGTCGTCTGTGTCATTTGAGGTCATTTTGAGTCGAAGTTAGCTTAGGTCAGGTCACTTTCAGGTCAAAAAAAGGTCAAATTTTGAAGTTAAAATTTCTCAACAAAAAAGGTGTCTATTGGATGCAGTTTGAGCTCAGGAACACGATGGTGCCATTTATATTGGTGTAGGATGTCAAATACGTACTGAAAAATTGATTTGAAAAATTAATAATTGTGAATTTTTTGCAATAATGCGTATAACTTGGTTATTTTTGAAGATATTTAGCTAAAACTTGCTAGAGTTAGTCATAATCATGCGTTCTGTCACATATATTCCGGTTTTTTCGAAAAGTCAAAAACTTTTTGAAAAAAATATAAAAATATAAATTTTGAATATTATTATATAAAATTTTCTAAATTTTCAAAATTTTGAAAATCCGAGATAGCAGTTTGATAGCGCGATCAATTCTGAGTCCTTTCATGCAAAAAAATTGGATCTAGCTTAAAAACTGAGCTCTTGGGAGCGATTGCCGTGGTTCAATGTTTTGCGTCGAATTCGGACGAACATGACGTCACTCTGACGTCATTTCCGGCCGACCTATGGTAGCTACGAAGTTCAAATTTTAACACAAGGTGTCAAATTGATGCAGCTAAAGGTACTGAAAGTTTGGCGTCGATCCGTCAAGCGGTTTGGAAGTTATTGCGGAAAAACGGGAGGGGGGGCTATAAATAGCCCCCCCCCCAGTGGGGCGCGGGTTAAATGGGTTTGTTCGTTGAAAAATCGCTTAAAACTTGGTCTGAACTTTGTTGTGGTGCCTACAGAGTAAAAAGAATCAGCTTTATGACAGTAATGTGGCCTGGGGAAGGAGGTAATTTTGGGCTGTGACGTCACATATTTGAAAGTTTGTGTTTGGAATATGGGAAGCCTAAGATGTTTAATGAAAAATAAATGCCAGAACCGTGTTCCTGGTCATCCAATCTATAAAGTCGGGCACAATTTAACTGGTTTTAACAACATTTTAGAAGGTGGGATAGTCCCTTTAAGACCAACAGCTGACCACTGAGTTGAATTATTATTCCGTGTCAGTGTGGTCCAAACTCCAAGCAAACGTCATCAGGGTACTTTGAGCCAGGAGCATCACCTACCAGAACAGCATTGCAAAGAGTGACGGCCGGGGGTTGATGCCTAATTGATACGGACCTTGCATAGAATCATCGTCTTGTTTATTGAATTGACAATTCCGCGCTATGAAGCTGGCATGAAGTACGAAAATAAAATATGTTAATGAACGCGTGCTGCTCGCTCATGACATAACAAAAAGGGATCGATTAACATTTTGAGCCCCTTAGGTCACTATTCGTGAGCTATGGGATTAATGTCGATGGTCAATATGCACCTTGAGAGGACGCGGACGTCGAATGGTATTCGGGCAAAATGAGTGCAACTGACGAGACTAGAGTCAATCAATTCTTATAAACAAATGCCGTATCATTACCTAAATATCATATATTGGGTCACGGTGTCATCCTAGGCCATATTCGTTACCCTGACTATATTTTGATGCAAATAAAGTTTTTGCGTAGGTATAGGCTAATTTGACAAATTTGGCCGGTCGCCGATCGGCACCAAAACATATTGTCACGTTCTCATTAACTCGTCGAAAATTGCTTGGGTGTCGATTGTCATTATCATTTGTCGTGCCCTCTATAAAGTTTTAGCTTCGTGGCTTGACGTAATCCGACAAACTTTACCTGCAGATGCGTCCTAAGGATGCTAAGGACACATACCTATGACTTTACTGAAGTCTTTAGTTCAATACCATTTTTGGGTCATCCTCTGTCGCATACAAAAACCCATGACAGGAATTACATCATGTTCTGGCCGGACTTGCTTCAATATCGATGTTTCAATGATCGACCTTCAATAGAACGTGTAAGGTGTATTTACGTAGGTAGATTATTTTTCGCCGTAGGCATACCTACGGCCGAAATACATAGTTACTCGATCTGTGCCTCAATTGTTTATGCGGCCAAAGATACTTGTACACGTTAGACTTTGTTCGGAGACTGGTTTTCTGTATGAACAAAAAACTGAGTACCTACGTATTGCAGGCGATATATATATTGCAAAATGTCACGTCCCGAGTCCCGACCGCCTTTCCAGCGATGTCGCTGAGACCAGTCCTGTTGGCTTGTACCCTTCTGCTGGCGCTCGGTGTCGTCCGAGGCCAGGGCAGCTGGTTCGCTGCAGATGACACGGACACCCTCTCAGAAATCGACTACGAGGAGGAAACCGACCAGTTCAGGAACAAACGACAGAGCATCTTTGATGTGAGCCGGGGTGAAAAATATACTTAAAAATCAAGCTGTGTTTTACCAAGAAGCAGCACACAGCTTGAACGTGAAATGTTTTTTTTTTGCCGGAACGTGAAATGTGTTTTCAATTCGCGGAAGTCGTTCAATCAAACTAAAAAAAAATTAAACTGTGCAATTCACACGTCCAAAACATACCTAAAGTATACTATCTGAAAGACGTGAGAAGTCTAAACAAATTCTATACTGTTCGTGTTTCTCATGTTCTCATGTACACCACCCTTTTTGTCCCATTCCAGGAAAAGGAGGAATTGCGCAGAAACTGCCTGAGAAAATCTCGGCAGGCGTGCTGTCCCCTGCTGAAGAAGGACGCCGTCAAGTTTGCTGCCTGTGTGAAGGACTACAGCTGGTCCAACAAGGACAAGGATCGGCCTGGCTGCCCTAACTACCCCCGCTGTCCCGGCTTCACACGGGGATGAAGCAGCATGGGCGTGTGAAGGATTAAAAATAAACGCAACCTGCCACCTGGGCACCGTTATCCCGAATCGCCCGACGTTGTTTTGTTTGGGTGTTTTCTATGATTGGTAAGATAAAACCACGAAGAGTCGAGGACATAGCGAGACATGAGTCAGGATATCTTGAAATAAAGGCTTTGGATTGAACATGCGGGTGTCGCAACTTTTGCGGTGGGTGGTAATGCGGCGCTCGACATTACCATCAGAAGTCGATTCGGCTGATGGTCCAAGTGACACGTATTAGGTAGGTAACCCAGTTACGCCAGCATGCAGTAAAAGTTATACCTAACATTGTTTACATAACATGGTAGTCCATTGTTTGTTTGTTTTTAAGCACACTCCACCGTCCACAGCAAACCTTGCTGCTGGTATGATAAAGTACGTACCATAGGCGGCGGAACGGGGGGGGGGGGGGCACTGTGCCACCCTTTGATTGTGACATTTTAACATTAGCCTTATGGGCGTTGCATGGAAAGAATGGGACCAAAAGTCGGCAGTGCCCCCCCCCCCCAATTGAAGGTGTTCCACCGCTACTGGTACGTACTACTTACTACTTAGGACTAAAAATGTTTACTGAAAGTAAACATACCTACTCCTAAGAGATGTCCTACTAAACTGCTCCTAAAAGATGGTTTAACCAAAACCTATTGCAAAATGTCCTACACTGGGTAAAATTAGAGAAATATTTCAAAAATATTAGGAAAAATATTTTTTTTTCATTAAATTACATGAAAAATATTGTGCACAATGTTACGTCGTACACTTAGTGACTTAGGTGTAAAGATGGTACCCGACAGGTGTAGGATGTTTAGCAATAGCTTTTATCACTCTTATTTTATCAAATTATCCTTCACAATACCCAAGGCATCGACAAAATATGGGAAACTGTGGCCTTACCTACGTATCCAGTTCTAAACCCAAACATATTCGGAACTGTATTAACCATAACTCCATGGATTTCCGCTATGCTATACCGTAACTTTCGTTATTTGAGGTTACCATATAACTTCGATTTGATGAACAGAATGTGATCTTCACGTAGATACCTATGCTCGGAGCTCTTTTGAAATGCACTGTGTTTCTAATTTTTGTGATGCTTCTCACTTCTTCATGTGGTGCCACCATTGCACAGGAGCTCTTGCACGGCCTTTTTACCAGTCGTTGACTGTCACGTGGTCAAATAAACCTTTATGTATGTATGTATGTATGTATGTATGTATGTGACACGGTTCACGGAACATATGGCTTCGGCTTCGCAGCACAGCATAACGTCATGCGCCTTCTGCTGGCGCATTGCGGTACAGCATATCTTCAGGCGCCTACTGCCAGTATATTGCGGGACAGTATAACTTCAGGCGCCTACACTAGCGTCATCTCGCGACAGGAATAATAATTTTGAGTAGCGTCATCAACTTATGGCGTCGAGACCTGGACAATGGACATGCTGTACATTTGCTGCCGTTCTAGGCTTCGCAGGGGCTTTGCCACGTTTTTGGGATTGCGGGCCGGGGTACAGAGTCCAGACCTCTCTCAATATATCTTATCTGGTCTACTTAGACCACCGCGACCCTCGCGGGGTGGCGGCACCCCAGTAACCGTCGTAGCTATAGGTATTAACCCGGCAGGCGGTGGGCCTACCAGCCACCTTCCGCGCGGTGGGGGGGGGGGCATTTTTTTGCCCCCCCGTATCTCCGAAACTACTGGACGGATCCGGAAAATTCAAACGGCGTTCGATAGCCCTGTCAAATTTGTCTAGGGAAACCAAATTTCATTGACCTCGGGGTCACCGATGACGTCACAGGTCAGGTCAAAGATAAAATGTTTCACCGTTCACGGGGCTTCTAGGGAAAGCGCTATAACACCGAGTAAAACGCATGTTGTCGAAAATCAGCGATAAGGCGTCAGTTGTCTAGTACATATGTTGCTATTAGAGGTCACTGGTCATACCAGGTCAGGTCACAGGTCAGGTCACCAAAGGTCACCAAGGGTCACCACATGAGCCCAACTTTACTAAGGTTATGCGATGCATGTTTTATGGCCAGTTTTTCATTTCCAACTCAATGGTGTTGGTTATAAGACCATCAGGTACGGTTTAGGTCACTGTCTGGTGGAGGTCAGGTCAAGGTCAGGTCAAATTTCCAAGTTGATATTTTTGCATAAAATGGGTATCGATTCGATGCAGCTCGTCACGGGGAGTCTAATGGTGGTCTTTGTTTTGCGCTACGAGGTCTAGAATTGCTAAAAATTGAGTTTGAAAATTTGACGTCATCAATTTTGAACAGTTTTTTCGCTATAACTTGGCCAAAAAAAGAGGTATCGATCTCAAATTTGGTATGTAGATAGAAGGTGGTAGGGACTATCACATATATTCCGTTTTTTTATTCAAAAAACTTTTTGGATTTTTTGGCTATTATATTCAAAAAATATATTTTTTATTTTTGGGGGTTAAAATCCAAAAATTCGAAAAACCGAAATAGCAGTTTTGTAGCCCTTTTCATTCCACACCTTTTATGTCTGAAACATTTTTCTGTATCTCTAAAGCTGTAGGCCTGACAGCTCTTCCTGCGAAACCTTTTTTGGGTCGAAAATGGCAAAAATGACGTCACTCTGACGTCATTAGCGGCCAACCTATCATAGCCTTTGGAAAAAATTTTGGTCACCATGTGCGCTAGCTGCTCTCGGGAGGGTACTGAAAGTTTGGTGACGATCGGCGCAGTGGTTCTCGAGATATATTGAAAAAACTAAAGGGAGGGGGCAAAAAAATGCCCCCCCCCCACCGCCTGGAAGGTTAATTGGTAGAGGAACACACTACACAGAACGATTTGACAGTCACCAACGCCACGCGCAGTGTGTGTATGCTATAGATATGTAGCCCGACCCTTCCAAGCTGTATGCTTATAAATCTTCGAATTAATTTCCATTATGATAGACCACACATCCAAAAAAAAGTTTACGACCTCAGAGCTGTAGTATAGATAAGAATTAAGACGGCACATACTAGAGCAGAACTTAGGCACATAAAATACACCGTGACGATCCAATGATTGACTTTTCTAGCAACTGGCCCTATATCATGTTTTTTTCCATTAGTTATAAGAAAAGAATGGGACATCACCTCATTTCTACATACAGTCCATTATGTTCACTTGCTTCTAGCATCTTAGATTTATAGCCAATGTAGCCATTTTTTCGATCGGTGGGCAGTAGATAACTTTTCACGATGTCGCAGCTCAGCCTGCTGTCATTGCGAAACTGCTGTCATCAGTTTTCCAGTCGACTCGACATCCAGATACCGATGGTTCAGTAACAGAGACCAGTGAGATGGTTTCACCGATTACCCTGTTCCAAGAAAAATGTGCAGTCCAATTAGCGAATTGGCCAACGCCTTTCAGGAATGAAACCGTGCGCCGCAGGTCTACTGTGAAACGATACGAGCTTCAGGACGGTAATACACATTAGACCTCAAATGATTTGAATGAGATGTCAGCACGTTTTCAATGATGTCTCATTTTCACGCAAATCACAACACCAGAACTCACGATTGTCGATTACGGTTAAAATAATATATTTGCCGTCCGCCATAAACTGGATGCATTCCACCAGCCGCAGCGGTTTAGCCTTGGTCGTAGCCATGGCAACCAGACGACGTAACCATGGTAACCGTCCAGAGGCTTCACATCCTCCTCAAACACGTATACACACTAACGTAGCAGCACCCCAAATAGTCCTTACCCACCCTCCCTCTCCCGCTCATCTAATTTAAATATACACAAACAACAAATATAAACCACTGTATATACGACTCGGTGTATCACATTACGCACCGAATCCATGTTCGAATCCACGTCGTATTCCGCCTTCGTCGAGCATGCATACCTACACGCTAGCATATCTGCAGTCTGCACTCTGCAGCTCTCATCTTTTAATAGAACATTGTGGAAATACTTTCTCCGCACCCAAGGAACGGAATCAAATCGACCTGGGATGGATTCCCTCCCGCAGCAACCGAGCAACAAAGACCACGGACCAACCGACGCACAACAGCTGACGTCATTGGATTGAACGGATGATGACGTCATCGTCACTCCCTCAGCCGAGTCAGTCGCCAGGAGGTATGTCTCTATTCTCGCACGTGGATGTTGGGGTTGAAGTGCGGGTCGAACATGGGGTCGTCGTCGGAGCTTGTTCCGGCCGCCAGCCAGCGCATAGCCGAGACAAACGTTACCAGCGCCACCACGACCAGAACTAGAACCATCAGATAGCGCCGGTAGATGGCACCAGCGCGCGGCCGTGACGGCGGACCGCTCATCAGCCTGCCAGCAAGGAACGCGGAGACTGAGTGGAGAGAACGGCGAGACCATGACAAGCGCTAGCGGATACCGAAATAAAGACCAGTTACTCCTGCCGCTGCCCAATCATTCCCTAATCTCTCCTCAAATCTTACTGAGCTTTAAAATTTAGCCTCTCCCTAGACTCCTTACTCGCCTTCCTATCTCGCCTTCCTTAGATAGGTCTCGTTCAGATCTGATACGGAGCCTTACTCACGACAGTCCCGTCCCTCTACCGTCCCTTAGACTGCCGTCTCGTGTCGCTGTGATTCAGCCCCTTTACGACAGCCCCGTCCCCCTGATCTGGCCAGGTCTTATCCTGCGACATTTCCCATCTTGCTGTGATTTAGCCCCTCTACCAAATCCCTCCACCCACCGCCAACTCCCGAGACGCTGCGATACAGTATTTACTGACCTCCACCAGCGCTGGAACCATTCCAGCGCCGAGCGGCGGCGGTACTTGTTCTCCGAGCTGTCAGAGTCCAGCAGGCTGCGACTCTCCTCCAGAAACCGGCGGTTCTCGGCCGCTGAAAGGGGACAGAGCGGCGTCACACAGGACGCTCTGACATGGGGGGAGGGGAGAAACTGAGCGAGGAATCACAAACGCTACGCTTGCATGGAATGGGAGGTAAGGAAAACACTCATTATGAACGTTTTCAGTTTCAGTTCAGTTTCATTCGATTATGAATTTCATGAACGTTATCTTTACTTTTTCACCATTTTGTGTTAAGAACGAGTCTAGTCGAAAATATTTGGCAAAGGTGAGCTTATGCACAGCTCGATTTCTAGGATTAACCTAGAGCAGCTTAGGTACCAGTTGAAAAATACCTCAGAGCTACCCTAGTTACTCGATCACAGAGCGCGCTATCAACTATAAATCACATAACCATTTCCACACTGCGGCGCGCCCTACGTCACCTGCGGCGCTGAGCTCGCGGTGGAAGGCGCTGCCCGACTCCATCTGTACCACGCTGCTGTCCTTTCGTGCCGGCGGCTCCTGCTCCCACGCGTGAGCTGGCGACAGGGAGAACACGGGTGTCAGCGAGCGGATTAACGAGGGTGACGGGTTGAGAGGGACGAGATGCAGGTAAGGAACCGAGTCAGGAGAGTATCATACTGACACAAATTACCAAACCAGTATAACGCCTTTTGGGGCGACTAACGGAGCGAGCGAGAGGGTGGGCTTGCACGTGCGAAATTGCGAGGGGGTACCTCCAACTGACTTGTGCACGGCACCCTACTAACCGGTCTCTAGCGATGTGCCAAATTTGGGCACAATCGGCCCAGCCGTTCTCGAGATCTGGAAGCGGCACCCTGCACGTGCGCACGTGCAAAATGGGTCCTAACTGACTTGTGCACGGCACCCTACTAACCGGTCCCTAACTGTGTACCAAATTTGAGCGCAATCGGTCGAGCCGTTCTCGAGATCTGGAAACGACCCCTGCACGTGCGCACGTGCAGCAGCACCCCAACTCTGGCACATGGATATGCAGTGCCTAGTGGGTGCCTACCTACATGCCAACTTTCAGCGCAATCGGCCAAGTAGTTACCGAGATATTGCAACAATTAAAAAACTGACACCTCTTCGTTTTGCACGTGGCACGTGCATAAGGGGTCACCCACATGCATCGGGAATAGTCCAATACTTGGTAGAAGGAATGAAGCTACCCTACAAAATTTACCGCATGTAAATCGGTCAAGTGGTTGGGTTGCTGAGATATAAGCCTCGCAAAAGCGTCCGCACGGCCGGCCGGCCGGCCGGCCGCTCATACTCAGTAATTTCCGTTAATCTAAGGAAAGACTCCGCTCGCTTCGCTCGCTCCGTAACAACCACGTTAAAGGAAATAGTTCACTTTTTAACATGGGTTTTG